ATTGGAAAGAAGTTATTATCTTGAAACAATTTACTTTTACTACCTACTTGTGTTACTTTTTACTATCTAATGTTTTATTTATATTTTAATATTCAAGTAATGACAGTTGATTTACAGCATAGTTGGAATTATACAAATAGTATATACGAGGTCTGTTCAAAAAGTATTGCGAATTTTGTGTATTTCAAAAATTAGTTATTTATTCATGAATATCTATTTTGTCTCCTTCAAAGTAATCCCCATCAGATATTATACACTTGTGCCAACGTTTTTTCCAATCCTCGAAGCACTTCAAAAAATCATTTTTTGTGATCTTGTTCAGCTCCTCTTTCGATGCCGTCTTTATCTCCTCAATCGTAGCGTAGCGTCGTCCTTTCATGTGCCCCTTCAATTTCGGGAACAAGAAAAAGTCACAGGTCTGGGGAATACGGTGGCTGCGGCATCATTAGTGTGTTGTTTTTGGCCAAAAATTCGCNATTCAATTTCGAATAAATGAGAGAAAAAAAAGTTGGTAACTCGCAATAGGTAAATAAAAACGATCATTTGTGTACCATCCGCGCGCAGCGCCGCAGCGGAGGCGATCGTAAACGATTAGAGATTACTGGTACTTCCTAATCAGTTACGACAATGAGGTTTAGATATTTCGATTCCTTATTAAATTTCGAATAAATTAGTGAAGAAGAATGTTGGTAACTCGCAATAGGTAAGTAACAACGATCATTCGTTTACATCGACCCGCATCGGCGCGAACTGGACGCGATTATAAACGATTAGAAATTACATGTACTTCTCAATGCTGAACTCTGTTCCGTCCATAGAGAATTTCTAGAGTCTTTAACATTTTCTCTAGATATAATATCATTTTCAATGGCATTTCAATGCCATTCAGCGGAAGGAGTAGCTCTGGGAGCGTTTAGTAATTGACTTGATTGACCAAATTTCAATCCAATCTCAATTTTAATTCCTAGCCTGATACAGATGGCGTATCACTTTGACACGAAACACAGTCCAATCAGAAGTCGCTGCTTCAGGGGTCCCTAAAAATATCTCTAGGTATACGGGGCTGTGATTGGCTGCGTGCAACTGCACTGTGGCCAAGTGCACCGTCTGATACGGGCATAAAGCGGGGTCTACAATGAGAGTTTAAGCTCTTCTAAGTCTTAAGAAATTGACCAACCACTGTCGATTATTCTTCTCATATTCGACTGTGATTGGTGAATTTCTTAAAGCTTAAAGTTTAAAGCGCACTATTGCAGACCGGAACTAAGCGCGAGCGCTTATAGCGAGAACTTCCAAATCGAACGTGCCATGGGTACAACCACTGTTTACGCGACAGGTTCAGGTAGGTTCAGACAGGTTCTACGAGAGCTCGTTCGTGGTGTGCCACGAATGATCGCGAGCAGTGAATAACTGCCGTTGTGATTGCCATATTTCGATTCGACAACAGCACCCGAGGCTGCTTTTCGAGTCACCGAATTGGCGGACGTCGCGTACAGACTGAATCGTTTCGAGCGGCGACGAGTATCTCGTACAGTCGCTGTTCAATATGAGCAGGTTAATCACTTCGACGATGCCCGAGCACAGTTATCAAGGCCGCGAGCCGAGTATGGCCGAGCGACTTGGATTAGGACCCGAAGTTCGTGAACTCAAGCTGGGATCGACTTTTACGAACAACAGCTCGACGGCGTTTCACACTTTGAAATGTAAGCTATTTGGAATTCGAATTTGCTGTCGCAGCACTCTCTTCGTCGATAGTAAAAATTGTCCTTTGAAGCCACATGTCATGAAAAATAATTGTTCTGTTATTTAAATTCGAACAATTTTGAAAGTATTAGGAATCTGTTTAGGAATATTCGGTACGAGGAGATCCTTTATAATTATTATTTTTGAAGTTACCTTTGACTGTAAAATCTGAAAGAGACTATGTCCATATGGTTGACTGTACATATTTGAGTAAATTACTTGGGAATATGAGCAATAAAGTTACAGGAGAATAGTTTGCCATATTCTACTTTCTACCTTGATAGTTTGATTGGAGATTAAGCAAATTCTAAAAATTGCCCAAACTTGACACCGAATAAAATATGCCAATCTCTAGATATTGGTTGTGCATTGTCATTTTTCCAGATGATTTTAAACCAGCAAGTGTTGATGTTTCGAAAATGGCTAACGTTGATGCAGGAGCTGACAATACAATGACAGTTACAGTTCCTCATTTAGATGGAGCTGGTACTCCTCATACTGTATTCAAAGGTTCTCAGAGACCTCATCACAAAGAATGTGTTCTCATTATTGACAAGACTACAGGGGAATTTATATTGGAGAAGCTAACAGCAAATATTCAAGTTAAGAAAACAAGGTATTGTCGTGAAGTTTATTATTAAATATAGTTAGGTATGATAGCAATTATTATTTGTAATTGTGTGTACTTGATTATGTATATTACTTAAAATTCACTGGAAATCTCATTTGCAGAATGGAACCAACAGCTAAGCAATTTTTAGCAGTTTCCAATGGAAATAATAGCAATGGTAGACCCGCAACGCCTGTTGAGCATAAAAGGAGTCCTACGCACGGCAGGTTAAATGGAAGGACAAAAGTTATAAGTGGGACAAAGAGAGAACCTTTTGTCCAGTTGCATCCGAAGGGACAGAGTCCTCCACCCCAGCCATCCAGCAGGCATGTACTGTCAAACATACTGAATATAAAAAGAAAACGAATTATGAAAAAATTTAGTATATATAAGAAAAAATGTCCCAAATAGGACAAGGTTACTTTATTGTCATACATTTTTTTTTTAAGTTTTTAATAAAAAGCTGTATAGAAGGTATTAATACAGAGAAAACGACTAATAGAAACATATTTTTATATTATGTGAACATTTTTAGAAATGTCGCGTGGTATTTTAAATATGGCTTGTTTAATTCTAGTTGTTCGCCCGCGCAATCGTCAAATACACAATCGACGTTGGCTAGTCTGCCAATGATTGGTTCCGAGATTGATGATTTCGCATTATCAACTCCGATAATCCCGTCATTTTCGTTCGTACCAGTCCGAGTATCTCCTCCACCTGTCGTAGTACCAAATACAAAATCTACTTCCTTGAATAGTGACGAGGGTGCGTTAAGTGACTCGAGCACAAGCAGTTCGAGTTCTGACAGCTCGGATAGCGATTCCGATACGGAGAACATTCCCGTACCAATGGCATCAAATGGTACATACCAGAAAATATGTTAATCACTACTCAAGTTTATCTGGGGAGCTTTCCTCACAGACCACGTTTATGTTTTTATGTAATTATATGGCACAAACTTTGCTTACGTAGATATAGAATGGAGAATTATCGCTGCTGTAGATGTGACGTTTGTCTTTGAAAAAAGCATCTGGTAACAATTAACCCTTTGCGCTCGAGGCCTTTTTCGCTCGGGCGAACCAGCAACTCGAGAGGAGTTAGCTGCTCCCGCTTATTTCATGAGAGCTAGGAGTAGACTCGTGAAGCGATATTCGTTAGGCCAAATCTAAATAAACACCGTTATCGCCCGATTTGCCGCCTCGATCCGAGTGGTGCCTGAGAGGCGCAAGGGTTAACGATTTAACCATATATTATATACAGTATATGGTATATTATATACAGTACTAGATGATTTGGTTGCAGTAACTTATTTAATTAAATCTTGGTAACTGTTACCAAATCTCTTTTTCAGTGTACACCTTAGCTCTGTGTATGTGTATTAATGTTTAAATGTTTCCTTTATTTTTTCAGACGTTTTAAATACCGCCGCAAATTCAACCTCAATCGTCGCGCCACTTATGCCAGACAACTTTTTAAATGAAGATCTGCAATTGTCCGAATCAGAATCTGATAGTGATAAATAATAAGATATCGATAGTATCAATACAATACATCAATACATAAGTTGTGATTATTAACGTGGTGATTATTAATATTAAACAAATACTACGTATATTAGGTTCTTTTTTAGCTGCACGATATCACATCTTTCGTACTTAAATTTTACACATTTATATGTGTTATCAGATGGTACATGATGTATGAGAACAAACATTTCGCGAGGAAAAAATTAGGAAGTGAGTGCAAAGGGTGCAGCTAAGAAACTCTTACACAGAACAGAGAGGAGTTGTATTATTCCAAGACGTTTTTACATATCTCACATTTGATTGCAAAAATCGCGTGATATGAAGGCCACCCAAGGCTAGAGGGGATCTTTGTATATTATTCAATATATTTATTTTTGATATTGTCATTATGCAATTTATTTCTCCTTCATATATTTGCTACTACAAAAATATATATGTATACATATGTATATATATATATATATATATATATATACATATATATATATATATAATAAATAATATAATAAAATATTTATTACATGATGTTTATAATTTTTCAACAATGCTATTACAATTCACGTATATATATATATATATATATATCGATTTAATACTGCGACTTCTGTTTCCATCACGTGTGGTAGTTTTGATAATCTAATATTAGTCTAGCCAGCTGGCTGCGTTTACCCAAGTGACTATTTTTTAGTCTAAGGCAGCTCTTATAAATACTGTCGTTGAAATCGTCCTCACAGTTGACATCTTTGTACTTGATCTTCAGCGTCGGCTCGATCGCGCGGAACACATGCATATCGCTGAAGGACACGTACATCTCAAATAAAGAGGTTACGGGACTGTGTTTCGAGAATTTCAGCAGAGTCGCTATATCCTTGTCGGATCGCGTCAACGGGATGTTGGCTTCAACCGTCTGCCGCACTGAAACAATTAAAGAGACATGATATTTACTGAATTCAATCGGCAAGTCGAACTTCTGCGGACGACAAGTCACTTAAGTCGGTGACTTCTAATCTCGAAATAGGATAGGAGAATGTGTCATCTACTATATCGATTTAATTTAAGAGCTAACAAAGACGCGTGCGCGCGACGTACTTGCGTTGTAATCCTTGATGTAAAACGCGATATTGTTGTAGTTCTGCTCGTCGTATTTGCCGTAGTTGCTGTTGACGTCCACCTCGTCGTGAGCCACTTCGTCCGTGTAGATTATATCGGGATGATACTCGATGAACGGGATCGGGCTGAAGATCTGATAACGGCTGATAGTGTTCATGCGAACCTGACAACGGGTCATCATCGAATTGCTCCGCCGAGTTACTAACTATTAATAACACGTCTAAGGATGAAATATACGCTTACTCGGTTTAAATAATCCATCTTCAGCTTCGCTCCCGTTTCCGCGAGCAGAACCAGACTCTCCGGTGAGAATTTCTTCGCGCACAAGTCGGTCACGGCGATCTTCATCATCGGATCGAAGTCGACGGAAGTCACGTTGCTCGGCAATCGTATCGAGAGCCACGTGATCCTAGACTGATCCTTCTTGTACTTCTCGTTCAGCGCCAATATGTTCTTCTTCACTTCGTAGAAGACGTCGCCTTTGCCCTTCGATTGCGAGTTGAAATTGTATAACAGCACCTGTATGAAGGGATAACTACATTAATCGCCGAAGATGAAGAGACTTGAGACGATATTAAATATAAGATCCGTCTGTGAACACCGTCCTGAGTTGCCTTTTCTACCAAACGCAACGTTATAAGCGAGATAATTGCGAGCGTTGTTAAAGACGTATCGATCGAACCAACCACCATGAGGAAGGTCTTGTACTTCTTCTCCATGCAATCTTGCGCGTAATGCTCCATGAAATTCAACGCGTCCTGCTTCTTCTCCAGATCGATTAGAACGACCACGTTGATCCTCGTGTTCTCGGTCACGTACGGCACGGGTATAATTTCCACTTTGCCCAGCGGCTTGCACACTTCGATCCGCTTCCTGACCTCTTTGCCCGTGGCCACCTCGTTGAACGCGATGTCGAGTATGTAATCCATCCCCCTGGACGCGTCGAATTTCTGATAGCCGTTCAGCAGCCTCTTGTAGCTCAGCTTGTCGTCGTGCTTGCTGATAATATTGTTCGCAGCTGCGTCGATCACATAGTCAAGGTCGGACTTGGTGTTGCCGCGCAACTCTTGGATATTGACGAAGTCGGTCTCGAAGAACGCGTGAGATTCGTTGAAGTATGACCAGCGCAGCACGTCGAAACGTCCCGATGGCCGGTTACCTGGCTGATTGCCGATGGGCCATGACACGTTGCGCTGGTTCGGCGGGCCCAGATGCGCCGTCTCCGAGATCACCTTTCGTATGTCGCCGATCAGCTTGTGCACCTTCATGCAGTTGATCTACGGAGTAAGGCGTTATATATGGAGCGATATGATCCCGAAGCTTCCGATAAACAAAAACAAACGTCAATTTAAGGGACAATACAGGAATTGATTGGTGTTAAAAGAACTATACGATTCTATTAAAAAAAAAAAAAAAATGAAGTTGAACCTTCGTTTAACTTTGCAACCTTCGCCCAAGGTCAAACGGATAAGATCGTTAAATAGATCGTTTTAAATACTTTTATTTAAAACATCTTTCTCAAAATTGTTTTGTTTACAAGATATTTGACCGTATCCAGACTTTTGCTCCACCTTGTATACTATATTATATATTACTATATTTTTATATATTATTCATGTACACCATTATATTATTATGTTATACATACAGAATGAGTCAATATATCTGCCACCATTTTGGAAAAATGAAAATATCTCATTAATGACTAGACGAGGATGAACGAAGCTTACATTTTGTGTCCGAAGTGATGACTATTAGTACCAACACACACAACGAAATTTTTATCTTTTTATATTTTAATTTTTCTTTTTTTATAAATTTTTTTCTCTTCTCATATTTTGAAGATATTTAAGGTGGTAATAGTTATGTTCTCTTTTTGTATGCTATATATATATATATATATATATAATTTTTTTTTAGACTTACCGCAGCGAAGTACATGTTAAATTTGTAAACGAGCATGTGATCGTGAATAGGGTACACGGACAGCGAATTTCGGAAATCACTTCGCTCGGCCAACTCAGCGAAATCCCGTTTGAAGTGAAACGCAGGCTTCAAGCGCGTGAACTTGAAGTCCTGCCCTTGCACGCGATCGGTGCACGGCATCGACGTGGAGTGGAGGATGCAGCGGCCAACGTTAACGTCATCCGAGTCCGAATACGCGTTCTTCACGCACCAGTCCAAATTATTCTTTATCTCCTGTATAACCGAGTTGCTCAGCAGAACGCCGGGCTCTGAAAGTGATTGTAGCGTGGGTTAAGCCACTTTCAATTTCGATCCGTCCAACATTTGTACCTTACCTAAGGAACAGTAATTCTCGATTTCGCTCAGGACGCCTGCGTGAACGTTTTGGCTCACGCTTATCTTATTCACGAATTCGGCCAGACCCCTCGCATTAACGTAACTCACATCCTTAACTAAAAAGTAGTAGTCGTAGTTCTCCAGATAATTGTCGATGATGTACTTCATAGCATGGAAGGGTTTCAGGACGTTTCTCGTGTCGGTGAATCCCACTATACCGGGGAACGAGACGTTCGGCTTGGTGCCTTCCGGTATGGAGATGAAATAGCGAATTTTATCCACTATGTGAGCGACCGTTTTGTTCAACGCCACATCCCTGCTGTGCAGGTGTTCCCGGCTCGTTATAACGCCCACGAATAATTTCTCTCTGATACCGAGCTCCGTCGAGTAATATCGCGGCCGAACGAACGCCTTCCGCGCCTTCGGCGCCTGTTGCGGTTTACCGTCGGTGTTTATCCGCGGCTCATAGGGGTCCACGTCCTCCAGGGTATTAGAGGAGTGGTCGAAAGACTCCGCTATGTCGTGTTGCTTGTCAATGTCAATCGGTACCAGCAACAGACTGAAACTCAGACCCATGCATATGCCCATGATCAAGTAAACGTTGCTCCAACAGAGTGAATATAACACTTTAAGTAGCGGTCTCATTTTGCTGGCTCCTGTAGATCCTGGCTGGTGTCTCCGAATTACTTTTGTCCTCTTGCGTGTGAGTTAATAGTATCTCTGGAGAGCAACATCTCGTTTAGTATGACGATACTTTCCTGATGGCAATATTTTGTGGAAAGTACTATGAAATCAATGAAAGTGAAGTGAAAGTTTACTGAAAAATTACTGAATATATAAAAAACAAATCACAATTTTCCTTATGAAAAGCAATGTAATACTTTGAAATATGAGGAGAGTTAAAATACCGTTGAAAAATAATGAAACAATTTTGAAATATTAGATGTCGTAAGATTTACCAAACACGACTGAAAACTGCACAATTTTTTTTCCAAGAAGAATTCCTGAAATATTGATTAATATTTTACTGAAACATTGATGAAATGATAATGAAGTGGAGTCAATTGAGGAAGATTTTCAAATGTATTTTCACTATATTTCCAATAAAATATTCCCATCAGGATCATGATTGAGACGACATCATTAGATTGCTGCGAAAGACTCTGGACTATTGAGTTCAGTCATTGAATCAAGTTAGAAATTTTGAGATATTGAAAAAAAGGGATTGACAGATCATCTTTTATGTAGAAAAGATTGCCAATTGATATTGAATGGACAAGGCCATCAGTGACTATTTCTATCGATAGAAATTACAGCATAAACCGTGTGCAATTGTCAATGTGAATCGACACAGATATACAGATCTTTTGCATCAATCTAAATTAATCATTACACGTATATATCTTATTCGACTTTCGATAAGTGACGAATTCCTTGGAGCGACGTATATGATAATTTTCATACGTGACACACGAACTTACATTTGTTTACCGAGATCCCATGATAACCTGTGCGTCGCGTAAATTTCGGCACATGAATACTCTTGCGATCATTTAGCCGTCGTATCGCGAGTATCAAGTCGCGATCGTTCGTGTCATATTCACCGACACCTTGTTTGCGCACACGAAGAGTTTAAGTGAGTCCTCTATTAGCCACGAGCACCGCACATAATTCCGCTCATACAGTGACAGCATCTTCCGTCGACGACACGTACTCTGCACATCTTCCGTACACGTCAGTAAACTCCAACTTCATAAGTTGGAATCTCATTTTCCGATTTTTTTCCGCTCCTTTCCTTACGAAATTCTGTTGATATGAGAGACCGAGATAAAATCTTGTTCGTGACTTTTACAAATCGCCGATAATAATCAAGCTTCGAAATCAGCTGATTCCACTCACCGACGAGGGGCTACAAGGTCATTTCATGATTTGGACAGTCGAATTGCAGGCCTCCTACGCCAATTGCAGGAAAGGAGCTACAGGGTGACGCACAAAATGTCGTGCCATTTGTTCTTCGATAAAACAAATTTATTAATGACGAAATTAGTGCAAACTGTGAATAAAACGAATCGTGGAAACTTGGAAAATTGTCATTACGCTTCTCGAAAGCGCATCTTTGAATTAAAAGTTTTTGCACGTAAAAATGTCGTAGCCATGACCATAAGGCCATAGCCATAAAATTTAATATCCATTCGAGATTTCAAACAGTTGAAATCTTAAAACGTGTCCTACAATGGGCAAAAGAAGTATGTTTACAAGAATAAGGAATTAACCAATCATAGTCGATTATTCTCCTTACATTCGAATATGATTGGTCAATTTCTTATTCTTACCTCTTATGAACATATTCCCATTGTAGACTACGCTTTAAGCTTAGTTTACAATGGACAGTAAGAGTATATTCATAAGAAGTAAGACCCGTTTCACACTGTTTAGGAATTGGATTGGGATTCAATTGTAATTTGGCGAATCAGAGCAAAGTTCACTGAACTCAACTTTAGTTAAGCTTGCTCTGATTGGTCATACTTCAATCCGATCTCAATCCTAAACCGTAATGTGACACAAACATACACCAATCATATTTACGAATTTTGCAACAGTTGCAAAGCCACTTTTTCTACTGAACGCTGCCATTGATTATTGATCTTTACTGTTAGATCCTTAAATTTATATTACATTGACGGATTACTCAACCGTTTTTCAACTGTTAAGCCGGTATCAGACTACGGATTGGAGATTGAGATTGAATTGAAATTGGACCAATGAGTGCAAAGTTTACTAAATTTGATTAAATTTGAATTAAGTTAACTTTGTACCGTGATTGGCCAAATTCAATCTCAATCCCCAATCCGTAGTCTGATACGGGCTTTATGTTCGTTGAACGCATTCTATAGTGCGTGTCATATAGATAGTAAAAACGTCTCCGTGTGTGTGTGTGTGTGTATGTAACAGATGAAGTAAAAACGTAGCGTGTGAGGGCTCGAAATCGTTTTACTGTTGATGTTTCTGCCGGTTACGTTCTCTGTCGCGTTTGATCCGGGGCACGCTTTGGCGTAGTATACAGCACTACTGTTTTTGAGAGAAAGTAACAGCGACCAATCAGGTTAACTAGAAAAAGACGGGACGTGTTTTCATATTATCTACCTCACTCTATTCGTGCAGCTACTCCAACCATTGCCATTAGTGGTCCGTTATATATATCGACGGTAAGTACGTTAAAAAAATAACAAAGTCTGCTTTCCGTGAATGTGTATGCGCTACTTCACGAATTGTTAATCAGCAAGTGTCACTTTTATCGAAGACACGATGCGAATACCAGCAAACTAATCGACAATGTTCGCAGGTTCAAGATATTTTACATTAAGGCTAGTGAAGATCCAGCTAGTAACGAAAAGTGCGCAAAAAGGTGCGCTGAACATAAGAAGGTCGCATGAAGATCATCGGAGTACGCGGAGACTTGTAAGAAGATCGGCCGAGTTCTCATAACGCTCGCAGGAGAATCATCGAGTAACGTAGGATGTTGTCGGTGGCTCGTCCGACCTTGCTAACCGACGTTGCAAAAAGAGTGACTGACAACCACCTTGGATACGCATGACGATTGTAAACGTATCGTGAATCGAGGAAGTTGAGCAGAGTCGCCGAAGGAACATGTATCTGTGAGGCATTCGGTGACCTCGCGTTTCCACCTGATCTCCGGAACGTTTTCTGAACATCTTCCATTTCTTTCTTTTACTCTTCTCCTTTTTATTTCCGTGATATGGAGGAGAGTGATAATTTGCCCAAAAAACCTAAACGAAATTTCGTAGAAGCTTGGCTCAGCGATGAGCGTTACAAGGACTGGTTGCGTAAAGTACCATCCGATGGAAGTCTTTATTACTGCACCATATGCAAGAGGAATTTCTCGTGCAGCGCGTCGCATATTTGCAGACATGCGAGTACCTCCCTTCACCGAAAGAGTTTGAAGCGACACAACAATGATTCGGATGTGTCGTCCGACGATGATATGACGCAAAATGGGAAGTCGAGTAAGTCGGTGTTCAAAAGCGAATGGTTGGAAATTCCTAGCTTTAAGTTATGGCTGCGTGACGTTCCGCACAACAACCATTTGTGTACATGTGTAATTTGCGAGAAAACATTCGCCGCCCATTTCTCGCATATCCGTCGACACTCAGTTTCCGGAAGGCACGTGAATCTATGTAAACGGAAAGGTATGAAAGTGAACAATTCAAATGATGACTTTAAGGTGCAAGATAAGCAATCTCTCTTGTTGTTTCGCGAGCGTAAGAAAACAGCGGAGATGCAGTACGCCGCAATCATCGCGGAGAGAAACATACCGTATCAAACTGCGCAGGACATTCTGAGCTTCTTCCAACAGTTAGGACAGGATCCTAATGTGCTGAAAAGCATGAGCATGGGACGAACTAAATGTAAGAATATCATATCCAATGTGTTGGGTCCGGTCGAGAGCGAGCATGTCGTTGACAAACTTCGGAAGGCAAAATTCTCCGTTTTTATCGAGGACACGTATTACTGCAATGAAAATTGGATGACGTTCTTCGTTAGATACATCGATCCCCACACATTGGATGTCGGCTCGCAATTAGTGAAATTGATCAACATCGATGTGAATGGTTCCAGGTCTGAAAACTTATTCCATGCGTTCAAGTGTGAAATGGAGAAATTACAGATTCCCTTCTCAAATATCGTCGCATTGTCGTGCGACAGTACACCCGAAATGACGGGGAAACATTCATTTAAAACTAAGTTAGGACAGATATGCAAACATTTATTAATATTCCCATGCCCGTGCCATTTGACCACGTTGGTCACGCACACCGCGTGCGCGAAAATACCATCATTCTGTGACCATTTCCTGAAAAGAATAGTTAATTATTTCAACAATTCGAAGCACTCGAAAACTTTTCAGTTTCGCGATTGCTTTCAAGAGAAATATCGCAAAATTTTGAAGTTAAGTAAAACGCGCTGGCTGTCTCACTACCCATATGTCGAGAAACTTCTCGAATCATGGAATACAATTCAACATTCTCTGCAGGAAATGGCATCGAGCGACGAAACAAAATGTGCAGAATATCTCTTGGCCATGATGAATAATGTAGAACTGAAGGCTTATTTTTTCTTTCTCAAATATATTTTATGTTTCTTCGATGCGTTCAATACATTTTTCCAATCTGTAGAAACGAGGGTCCATTTATTGCAGTCAAAATCAATTAACTTACTGTACGAAGTCTGCCAAAACTTTGTTAAAGAAGAACATCTAGAGAACTTGACGACAATTGTGAAATTCTCGAACAGAGAAATTCAGAAGGATGTAAATGAAGTTTATCTTGGATCAGAATGCGAGGAGTATCTTAACAAACTGATGATGGAAGATCATGTGGATGTAGTTACAACCGTTCGACAAAACTGTTTACAATTTTACCTTACTGCTGCGAAGGAAATACGTGAGAAATTGCCCATTGTAGACGATATTTTGGCGAAATTACACATTTTCGAATCATCCACAGCTCTGTTCGATAGTGACAGAGAAACGTCGTTCCGACACGTTTCTTTCTTTGCGAAAACTTTCGGTGACTCCGATGAAGAATCCTTGAGAAAAGAGTGGTTTGCATTGACAACAGATTTCACTATAAAAGAGAAACTGAATATGTCGAACTTAAGTTTCGACGATATGTGGAAAGAAATTTTGCACCGCCCGGCGCAGTCGTGTACTTACAAATATCCCAATTTGCGAAATATTCTGAGCGCTATTCGAGCACTCCCTAATTCAAATGCAGATCGGGAGAATACGTTTTCAATTTTAACTAATTTAAAATCGAAAAAGCGAAATAAATTGTCTTCGGTCTGTGTTAATGCCACTTGCGTATTAAAATCAGCGTTAAAGATGAGAGGCGAATCAGCTATAAACATGGAAATAACTTCACAGCACTTATCTCGTATGTTGTCCGACAAATTATATCCGGAGTGCCCTAAAAAGGAAAATCCTTTAACTGATACTAATACTTTTACTGACGAAATTACTGAAGTTACTAACGAAGTTGATCCACTGGAAGGTTGTTAGTCCTTCGTTTATAATACAATAATAATGTCTAAAAGAGCATCAGTTATGGACGGCAAATATTGGCATATCCAAGTCAAATGAAATCATTACTTGATTTTTACTTGTAATATATAAATCTTGTTAATTTCTTTTCTTGACATTGTTATTTTTAGTTGTTAACATTATTATTATAGTTTAATGCTAAGAAGAGTATACAGATTATTCAAATTTTTCTATTTTTGAAAATATACACAGATAGGAGGGATTCGAAGTTCATAAATACTGTGGTGATGATGCCGAGCTACGAGATCTTGATCTCTTTTTGTAATATACACATACACGCGCATAATTTTATATATGTACATACATATATATATATTATATGTACATATATAATATATATATATTATATATTATATATGTACATACATACATATATATATATATATATATATTTTATCTGCAACAAAGTTTCCGTGCGTTAATAAGTTAATGTCGCTATTTTGTACATAACTTCTATTTTGAAACCATTGTATTTCATTATCTGTTGAAAATATTTCGCCGTTTTGAAAATATTTGAAAGTATTAGTACACTCCGTATATATGTAGATTTATTTGTTACAATAAGAATTCAATATATCAGATCATCTTTTAAATAATGTAGTTTCTTGAAAGCAATCCCAGTAAACAAGAAATCATTAATTTTGTGTTATCACAAGGATATCTTGAAACTGTACGGTTACGACTATTTTCAGTCAAAAATAAGGGTTACCTTTTATTATACTTCATTTACCAACCACAGTCGATTTATTTTTCGAATCTATGAATCTAATTGGTCAATTACCTTGCTACTTATGTATTACTGCATACTTTACGGCTATTGTAGACAGCTCTTTAGTCCGAGTCTGTATTATAATATAATAAGTGCAATAAGCTTTAAACCGTAAGAAATTGACTAATCACAGTCGAATTATAGAAGAATGATCAATTGCGATTGGTCAATTTCCCACGGCTCAAAACTTACTACACCTATTGTAAATCCGGGCTATCCCGTCCACGATCTTGCTTCAAGACGTAAGCGGTAAGCAAATTGACCAACCACGATCGATTATTCTTCTAATAAACGCCTGTGGTTGGCTGAATTGATTACTGCCTAAAGCAAGATCGTGGACAAGGGGTAATCGTAACTATGGACATGTAACGATAAGCGGTAGAGGATTACGATTTACGTAAAACGTTACACTCAAATTCTTACGATTGCTTTGTAATCTACTTTACGATTTTACGATTCGCTCATATATCTCCTTAGAATTGCAGTATTTCTGTGTTATCCATTATATATATTATTGGTTTGCTCGCGTTCGTCAATTTTATCGGCATCGTGCCGTATTATCGATCCTCGCGAGCTTCATGAATCTCTGTCAACGCAGCGCGAGCATTCCTCACCTTCGACAGGTGTGGCTCCTGTAAGGTGTCGGTGATGCCCCATGGAAGATTCGTGCGAGGTAACGGCGACGATTTGCGAGCACATGAGCGCCCCTAAGAATGCCCGTGATATGACGCTATGCGAATTATCCTTCTCGTCGTGTTCTACATCGCGGCTTACGCGGCGAGAATTGCGCCCGGCGGTATCGCCGCGACGATACCAGGTAATTACTTTGACGGGCGCGGAACGAGGCCACTTGGCGGTGTCGAGCTTAATTCGACACTCGACGAGCCTATCCGTGCGCGACCGACGGACAGAGCGAGATCTTTGTTCTTCAGATTCGGGCTTACCTCGTGAGCTCGTGGGAATATCTGATATAATTCCAGACTTGAAGAGCACTCGTGACTGTACAAGAAATATTGATATATCCCGATAGCGTTGAATAATTTTTAATTAAAATTGGAATGGGTCGTCATACTCGTTGCTTCTTTCGCCGTAGACTTTGTTCTTGAAATTTCAGATTTACCGTGTAAGAGTGCGGAAATATTTAACGTCACTTCGGATTTGACTGGATTAAATTGTGCGGAAAAATACTGATATTTCGGTAGTATCGAGTAATTTATGGGGTTAAGAATGAAATTCGTTGTTGTTTCCTGCCTTGTGACAGATCTTGTTCTTCAGATTCAAGCTTACCGTGTCAAGCTGCGGAGATACGCAATCTCAGGTTACAAGAAACTCAATTGTACGAGAGAAAATTTATTTATATCTCGATAAAGCATCAAATAATTCTAATAAAGGAACGAAACGCGTTATCGCTCGTTCGTTACTTCTCGTTCCCCAGATTCCGATTCACCGAGGTGAGATCACTAAATTATTCGACGCGATTCCAAGCTCGAAGAATCTGACTGTAAAAAAACATATTTATATCCTGATTATATATCGGACAGTTTTTACTCCGAATTACGAACGTAACGCGAACTCCGTCGCGTTCCTTGCTTCGCGCGAGATGCCTCAGCGACGTTTTCCTCGCGCAATTTCCCTCCCGACGTCCGTAGGAAGCAGCGTGAGGTGCATCCTCAAACAGAGGGCCAGAGCGACGCGGAGCCGAGCGTCCGAGGCGCCCGTCGACGATGGAATGATTCAGAAGACGGTCAAGCGCGGTAGACAGCCCTCGTTGATGAATCGCATCGACGGTTTCCTGCAGATCAGACGAATCCCAAGCGGCGAATCGAGCAAGCGCGTCGGGCCGACTCCCCGGAGGAGGACGAAACGCACGCGGAACGACGAGGCCGCGCGTCGTCGGGACGACTTCGAGAACGACGACGACACCGACGCGGACGATGTCTGGCCGAGCGTGGCAGGATCATCACGAGGCCCGCCAGTCTGGCAGATTCCGGAATCACCGGTTCCGACGACGACTCCGACGGCCGTCCAGGTGGAAACCCCGGGGAATTCCGACCGCTCTTCGCGATCTGACCGAACGATTCTCCCTGTCACTCGCTCGAATTCGCGAGAGATGCTTTACGAGTCGCCGGAGACGGCCGAGATCGACGGGAACGAAAATCGGCACGAATCGGAAGCGGGTTTCCTCCCGCCGAGGAAGCCCGTGTACGTTCTGAATTACCCGGACAGGTACGTCGATGCGCTCGACGGAAGTTTCGCATTTTCCGGCCCGTCGGGAGACGCGGGGAATCCCGGGAAACCGGTCGGGAGAGTACTCGTCCCCGTGTATCGCCTGGGGACGCTCGCCGACGCGCCTTCCCCGAGGTTCTTCGGCGGACATCGGGAAACCCCGTCGAGCTCGCGCGATAAGGATAAGACTGAGCCACGAGTCGCCGATGATCGTCCATTTGCCGGTCCCCTCCGAAGATTCCTGCTGGTGCCGGTGTCCAAGGATCTGTACGTGCTGCAGGACGAGGAGTCTCGTGCTCGAGCGGATGACGCGACGTCGGCAGTCCTCGCGTTCAAGGCGCACCTGCATCACGACGCGAAGGACGCGGGCAGAGCGTACCTCCGGAGACCTGTGTCGGAGAATCAGCACCGTTTCTCCGAGCACGACGCGAATCGCTCGCGTTTCGATCCGGATCCCAGCACCTTCCAAGAGGAGGAGACGGATCTCGCCTCGAGATACTCTACTCCGTCGTATCCGAGTTTCTTGTACCCTGGAGTCCCCTCGCAGACTTACCCCCGATTGATCGATTCGTCCGAAATGCCCGACGAAGGAATCGTTCCTCAAGCTGCGGATTACGGGAACGCGGGCAGCGCTGCAGACTCGGACGCTGAAATCGATTCCTATGATCAGCCCGGGTTCCCGTCCTTTCCCCCTCCTGGCGTGTCTTCGTATTCAGTGAATGCGGACGATCGTCGATCGAACGTTCCTCCTGCGACCGCGTCGGACGGCGAGAACTATGAGGAGTCTTCTTCGAGATACGGCGAGTTCGACGACGTCGATTCGACCACGATGGATCTCCCGAGACTTCTTAGCACACCGGACGACGGTGTCGAAGCATTCATTACCGCGAGAGACGTCGGGATCTACGTAACCGGTGACGAGGAAGCGTATTCGTCGAGCGGATACACCACCGAAGCGTACTCGCTCGGCGGTCCCGAAGAGCGCGCGATGTCCGTGCCGTTATTCCCCGATGTCGAGGAGCAGTCGTCAAAGAGGGGGAGAACCGAAGTGGAGAACTCGCGTGCCCTTCTAACGGCGATCGGGCCGCTGTCTTCGGAGCTGCAGAGGCTGCTGAGCGCCGTTAAGTCGGTCAACGAAAGCATCAGAGCCGTGCGGCGCAGACTGTGCGATAAAAAAAACGTCGTCGGACCGACGAGGCTTGAAGGGAAGGAAGCGACGAGTAGCGCAAGTTCGACCGACGATCCCGACGAGCCCGTCTCGCCCGCGAAAAGCGTCGAAAGCCGAAGGGAAAGCGGAAGAATCCCGTCGGACGAGAGAGTCGGCGATACGAAATTGCGGGAACTGAGGAAGAGATCCAACGGCTCCTTCTTCCTCGGCAAATTGACCGCACCGTCGCGCAGACGCGTGGCGAGCTCGGCGAGCGATGGGGACCTCCTGGAACGAGCGAACGAGAGGAAACATCCCGAAAAGCCGGTCGGTGCGTTGCGCTTCAGGCTGAACCGAAACCTGAAGTCCTGGACGAGGAATCACGAGGCGCCGCGAACGGAGCCGACTCGGCGATTCGGTGGGTCCGGCTTGAAAAAAATCACGCGCTCGACGGAAGGCGAAGGCGCGTCGGGGGACGAGGATAATTTTTCAGGCGGAAGAAGCGTGGGAAATTCGCCGCGACACAAACCAATCGTTCCGGCGATTCGCAGCTACGAGGATAACCCGGAGTACCTCTGGCCGAATAACAAGAGAGATTTGGAGCGATATACGACGAGGAGCGCGGGAGAAACGCGCTACAGCCCGGTTGACCCGGAGTTCTACAGAGAAGCGACCGCCTACCTCGACGTGCTTCGATTGTTGAACATGACCGAGGAGCCTCGCACCGGCTACCCGATCGTTCCCGATTACACCATACCGTCTGTCATCACGAAGCCGTTATCGCCGGCGAGTCCGCCGACGACGGAACTCGTAGCCACGTTCTCGCCTCGTCCACTGGAAGAAGCAACGACCGCTTCGGGTGTAACGAGGCCGGAGGCATTTCCAGAAGAAGTGACCGATTTGGTCCCACGTGAGAATGAGACAGACTACACTACCGATTACGAATACTACGAAGACCTCGAGGATTACGACTGGCAGAATTACACGGGAATGTACGAGGACGAGAATGCCACGTCCTCGACGTACTGGTACGAGTACATGGAGGAAACTACGAGCGAGGAAGTCCGTGGAATTACCGTCGGAGACACCGTTCCCGGCGAAACGCTGACGACGATGAGGGTCGAGATTGCGGGGATTGAAGTCCCAGCGACGACGGAGACAACGACATGGTACACCGATTACCCACTTACCACCAGCGCGCTAATTACCGCAGTACCAACGGTTCCTGAAATTTCGGGGACCACATCAGCGACGCTGTTGCCAGTTACGTTGACAGCTTTCACAGTGCCAGCTACGTCGACGTTATTCCATACGACACGATTACCGACCGCGGCGGTCGACGAGATCGTAACGGGAACTACCGGAATTGTTGCTGGCGAAACAGCCGCGGTGTTAACTACGGAGATACCCGAAGCAATTGAGACTACCGTAGCGACTCCGATAACGAAGGGATTTACAGTCGAATCTACGATGATGCTGACTCCGCTTCTGGAAGGTACGACGGGTGTTACTTGGAAAGTTACGATTCCCCAGATTATCGAGACTACACTCGGGCCGACACTCTCACTAGTCAATGAAACTGTGACTATCGAGGAAATAATGATGGGAGCCACTACGATTGCTGGTTTGCCTACAATTCTAGAAACTGAGGAAACGACCTTGAGTACGACGTTGACAGTAGAAACTACTTCGGGTTATTTGGCACTGGAGGAAGAAGAGAGTCCGGTGACGCAGATTGAGAAAACTATAACTGCGGAGGAAATGACGACGGAGAGTCCGACAACTACCGAAGCTCCGACCATTACCGAAACTTTAACAACTGAAACTTTAACAACCAGTGAAACTCCAACTACTACTGTCGCTGTTGGAACGACTAAAATTCCAACGATAACGGAGACAACAGCCACTAAAATACCAACCACTACCCGAACTCCAACGACTATCGGAGTTCCAATTGCCACTGAAGTTCTAACAACTACAAAAACTCTAACAAGTGCCAAAATTCCAACAACTATAAAAACTCCAACAACTGTCGAGATTCCAACTACTAGAAAAATTCCAACAACTATAAAAACTCCAACGACTGTCACGGCTCCAATCACTGTAAAAATTCCAACAACTATTAAAACGCCAACTATTACAAAAATTCCGACAACTATTAAAACTTCAACTATTACAGAAATTCCAACAACTATCAAAACCCCAACAACCACCAAAGTTCCAACCACTGTAACAACCTCTGAAGTAACAATGATTACAAAACCTACAACTAGTAAAATTCCAACAACTATCAAAGTTTTCACCACTACCGAAACTCTGACAACTTTAGAAACTACAACAACGATCAAAATTCCCATGACTACAAAAGTTCCAACCACTACCGAAACACTAACAGCTACTGAAACTGCAACACTAACAGCTACCGAAACTGAAATTATCGAAACGAGAACTACTACAATTCCAACGATTACCGAAACTCCATTGACTGCCGAAATTCCAACAACAATCGAGGTTTTAACCACTACTGAAACACTGACAACTTCCCGAACTCCAATAACAATAGAAACAACAACTACGGAAATTTCAACCACTACTACCGAAATTCCAACAACTATAGAAACTCCAACCACCGCTGGAACCCTAACTACAACCGAAACTTCAACTATCGAAACTCGTGTTACCAGAATTCCTACAACTGCCGAAACTCCAATAACAACAGAAAGTACAACTACCAAAATTCCAACCACTATTATCGAAACTCCAACAACTACAGAAACTTCAACCACTGCCGAAGCGTTAACTCCTACCGAAACTTCAACTATCGAAACTCGTGTTACCAGAATTCCAACAACTGCCGAAACTCCATTAATTACTCCAACAACCATCGAGCTTCTAACCACTACCGAAATTCTAGCAACTTCTGAAACTCCAATAACAACAGAAAGTACAACTACCAAAATTCCAACCACTATTATCGAAACTCCAACAACTACAGAAACTTCAACCACTGCCGAAGCGTTAACTCCTACCGAAACTTCAACTATCGAAACTCGTGTTACCAGAATTCCAACAACTGCCGAAACTCCATTAATTACTCCAACAACCATCGAGCTTCTAACCACTACCGAAATTCTAGCAACTTCTGAAACTCCAACAACAACAGAAAGTACAACTACCAAAATTCCAACCACTATTATCGAAACTCCAACAACTACAGAAACTTCAACCACTGCCGAAGCGTTAACTCCTACCGAAACTTCAACTATCGAAACTCGTGTTACCAGAATTCCAACAACTGCCGAAACTCCATTAATTACTCCAACAACCATCGAGCTTCTAACCACTACCGAAATTCTAGCAACTTCTGAAACTCCAATAACAACAGAAAGTACAACTACCAAAATTCCAACCACTATTATCGAAACTCCAACAACTACAGAAACTTCAACCACTGCCGAAGCGTTAACTCCTACCGAAACTTCAACTATCGAAACTCGTGTTACCAGAATTCCAACAACTGCCGAAACTCCATTAATTACTCCAACAACCATCGAGCTTCTAACCACTACCGAAATTCTAGCAACTTCTGAAACTCCAACAACAACAGAAAGTACAACTGCCAAAATTCCAACCACTATTGTCGAAACTCCAACAACTATAGAATCTCCAACCACTGCCGAAGCGTTAACTCCTACCGAAACTTCAACTATCGAAACTCGTGTTACCAAAATTCCAACAACTGCCGAATCTCCATTAGTTACTCCAACAACCATCGAGCTTCTAACCACTACCGAAATTCTAGAAACTTCTGAAACTCCAACAACAACAGAAAGTACAACTGTCAAAATTCCAACCACTACTGTCGAAACTCCAACAACTATAGAATCTTCAACCACTGCCGAAGCGTTAACTCCTACCGAAACTTCAACTATCGAAACTCGTGTTACCAGAATTCCAACAACTGCCGAATCTCCATTAATTACTCCAACAACCATCGAGCTTCTAACCACTACCGAAATTCTAGCAACTTCTGAAACTCCAACAACAACAGAAAGTACAACTGCCAAGATTCCAACCACTATTATCGTAACTTCAACAACTATAGAATCTCCAACTACTGCCGAAGCGTTAACTCCTACCGAAACTTCAACGATTATCGAAACTCCAACAACTACTAAAATACCAACAGTACCAAAAACTACATCTGTCAAAATCTCAACTACCGAAATTTCATCGACTGTCGAGGCTCCAACGATTACCGAGCTTCTAACTAGTACTGAAATTTTAACAACTTCCGAAACTCCTGTAACAACGGAAAGTACAACTACCGAAATTCCCATCACTTCCATCGAATCTCCGGCAACTATAGAATTTCCAACTATTGGCAAAACTCTAACAGCTATCGAAACTTCAACGACCATTGAAATTCCAACTACCGGAATACCAACGGTTACAGAAACTACAACTGTCAAAATTCCAACAACTTCCGAAATTTCATCGACTGTCTTCACGACAAGTACAGAAGAAGAAATAATAATGACAGAGGAAGAGATTATTACGACTCCGATCGCTACTGAAAAAACCGTGGCAGAAGTAACAACTCCAATGATGTATCTGTCATCACCTGCCACACTTTACACGGAAATCACTACGGAAGCGACATTACTCGTAAGCGTGACGGTTCCTTCACCCTCTATCCCAACTGTCACGGCCGTGACGCCAGCCGTAACCACTTCTACCGCGATCATTGAAGGAACCTCAATTTCAACGACCGGAGAAGTCACTAGTGCTAATTTTACTACAATACCCGAAGAGACTGTCGGTGTTATTTTCACAACACCGACTGAAAAAATGTCAACGTCTACGGAAATCACGCGGGCTTCTTCTGAAAGAAGCACTGTGTCGGAAGTGGGAACTATTAGCACAAGTACCAGTTTCATGCCGACGATAGTCAATGCGACCGAGATCATAACGACTTCTACAGTTTTATCGGAGGCTACCACAGAAACAGCAGGGACAAGCACAACGACAGCTACTGTCACCTCATCGCCGGCTACTGAGCGACCGGAAGAGGAGATTTTAGAAATCACAGCCACCGAAACGCTCACTCCGCTTACAAAATCGACAGAGTTGACAGAGTTGACTACAACGGAAACGTCCGTTACCACACCGGCAGTTACTTCCGCATTGCCGGAGACTACCTCAGAGACGGAGGAGTTCACAACAACACCGACTACGACTGAAAGTATATCAACAGCATTATTTATCGAAACGACCGTCCACCCCGCTACTTCAACTTTGGTAACGACTACTGAAACGATGCCAGAGGTCGAAACGGAATATTACGTAGACAAGGCGTTGGAGTCGCAGTACGAAGAAGAAGAAGAGTACGATACGGAAATACCGACCGACAAGTGGTACTACTATGACGAATACGGCACTACGACGAAGGAGAGAACAGTCCTTACATTAAGCACGGTGAGTCACACGAAGCTGCCCGAAGAAGAGGTGACGAGTTCTCCATCTCCTGCCGAAGCTACGACAGCTTCTCCGTATGAAACTAAGACTTCCGAGTTCACGACATCCTCAACGATCTCTGAAACGACGATGACGACTTATGTCGGGGTGGCCACGACGACATCGAGGACACCTCCTCGCACGTACGCCGGCGAAGAAGTTACCTCAATTGTCGCTTTGGAAACGTCTACGTCAACCGTTGCAAAGGAAACGAAGACACTGGAAACAGGAACTACTGAATTTTCTACCGAGTCCTCGACGTCTAGCACGAGTGGAAAGGAAGAAACGGTCACGACTGCGACCTTCGGCTCTACGGAGGAATATACTCTTCCGCCTTCGACGGTTTTCGAGATCATGACGAAACCGCTCGAGAGTCTAACGATTTCCGCCAAGTACGTGTATACGAAGCCCGACTGGCTGAAGTCCATCACGAAGCCCCAGGAGATTCTCGATCAGGAGGTCGAGCTGAAGAAGACAACGTTTGCGAAGATAGGCACGACCTCGGAACGCGTCCCAACGGTAACCGAAGTTCCCACGGAGAAGTCGACTCTCCTCTTGGTCTCGCCGGTGCTCACGACGTTATCGGAGGAAGAATCGATGGAAGCGTTCGCGACAACCGTGAGTTCTGCGGTCCCCGGTTTGGAAGTGGAGATTACCGGTTACGAAGTTACCACTCGGTCACCGAAGACGATGCCCGTTACTGAAGAAACTGAAGAAAGCACTGTGGAGAAAGAGAAGTATACTACCGAGGAGATTCTTCCACGCCTCGTCACGCCGTTCACCGTGCCCGAAGTTGAAGTTGAATCCACCACGATGAGTAAGATCGGGAAAGACGTGGTGCGAGAACAGCAGAGGAAACGATTGCAGCACCAACTTGACGAGCTGACGCGTCATGAGAAAGAAATGGCGGAGAGGGAGGAGAGGCTGAAGGAAAAGGAGCGACAGTGGGACCGAGAGAAGAAGAGACGCGAAGAGAAGATGATACAACTTAAGGGAGAAGAAGGTACCACTGCGACCAGCGCGACAGAAACTGTCGGTGCGGAGAGTCCGACGGTGCCAACTGTCACAACGTTCAAGGTCACGCCTTCTGTCGTCGATGCGACGTTCGCCACGTTGAGTACCAGTTCGGACGAAGTCATCGCAACTTGGACCGAAACGACGCCGTACTATAGCGCGGAAGAGGTCGGATTCACGACCTCGGCTACGGAAGAGACAAAAGGAACGTATGATTATGTAACTGAAGCCACTACCGAGCGATTCGGCGCGGATTTGCGCGGCGAGGGCTTAACTTCAGCGGAGACTTCCACCCCTTACTCTGTCGAAGAAATATCTGTTACAAGTTACGAATCGTTTACTTCGCCTATAGTGGCGACCGTTTCGGCTAGTGTCGCGACTTTCATCACAAAGAGAGAAGAAATAGACGAAGAGATAGAAAGTCTGGAGGAACGATTGCGTGAAAAGGAGCGCGACCTGGAGGAGAGGGAGAAGATGTTACTGGAAAGAGAGCGGAGGCTCGAGGAAGATATGAAGAAGTTCGAGAGGCACATGGCAGAAGTTGAGAGTGAAGTAACCGAGGAGTTGACCGCGCCGAGTTTATCGACGCCGATGCCGCCGACCGAGGGACTTACGACTGCCAAAGCCCGAGTCGCCACGCGAGTTGAGGAGAAGACGGAGAAGAAGGAAGCTCGGATCACCACGATGAAGATGGTGGTAACGTCTCGACCGGGCGCCGCGGAAGCGATCGATCTCGAGGAGAGGAAACGAACGAAGTACGTTCCCGAGGAGGCCGTTACCCCGAAGGAAGAAGAAGGAGAGGAAGAAATCGTGACTAAGAGAATATGTCTGAATGTTCTGGCGAACACGACGATCCTTTACGATAAAAGAAGGCGAGACTTAGTGACGAAGAAGATTTGTCTGCCGTACCTTCCCGAGGGAGAGGGAGAGGTCGGTCGATTGGGCAGGAAGATCCTCGCTCTTCGAGTTGCGAGAGAGATCGGGAAGCCGAAGTTGGGTTACCTGCCGCATCTCCGGCGCGGGAGACGACGAAAAGAGACTATTCGCAAGATCAGCGATCCGCAACTGTCGCGTCGCGAATGGCTGGATAACGAAACTGCGAAATCGCCGAGGTACTTGAAAGGTTTCACCGGGATGTACGAAGGGGCGAGAAGAATTTTCCCGGAGCATGATGCTGCGACTGTCACCGATTCGCGAAGAAACGCTGAAGATCGCCGAGCCGTAACTTCTCCGTACGAACGACACGTACTCGATCAACACGAGGATTCTTTTCGACCGACCGCTACGGCTATGTCGGACGGTAAAGGATACAGAAGGAGGAACGCTTCTCCCGGGAGTAGTTCGATTCGTGAAAGAAGAAGCGATCTCTCTGGTGGTGACTACGAGGCAACGGTCGGCGATACTTCGACCAGCGAGGAGAAGAGATCTGGTGAAGACGAGCTCGGATCTTACACGGTGAACGTGCTGCGTTTTAAGTACAACGAAGACGATGAGACGCATCGGACAACGTCCGTTAAGTCAGACGCCGATGAAGCGATGGCGTTCACGTTCGTGCCGGGCAACGAGCAGGAATTCGTGGACGACGGAGACGACGATTTCGATCGTACTGCTGACTCTGGAGAAGGCGATAAAACTGTCAGACCGTATCGACTCGAAGATGACACGGAGGAGGAAGACGATGAATCGTCGAAGGAAATAGAAGAAGAAAGAACCGGAGAAGAAGAGGAGGAGGAAGGAAAGAATGAGGAAGAAGAGAAAGAAAATGAAGGAGAAGGAGAAGAAGAAGAGGGGGAAGATGATTACGGTAAGGACACGACGAAAAGTGGGCAAATCCGATCTCTTTTGAAGAGAAGAGGAAGAGAAGGCAAATTTAGATCTCAACATTTGCTAAGATCGCTTTATTTATTCTTCATTGATTTAATTTTCACTTATTTATACTTGCTTCTCCCGATGTTGCAATAAGAACGTTTCCTCCTTGGGTGTAATGATGATATCACATTCTAGGTCGAGCGAAGACGCCGACGTCGGTGTACGACGTGAAAATTTTGGTCGATCCGAGCCAACGTGGAACGCTGGTGGGAAAGCAGAAGAAACTGATGGACCAGGTGTGGCCTACGGAGAAGAGCGCGACGGATGACTCGAGTGGCACCAAGTATCTCGAGCCCCAGATCACGGAATCACCGGATATATTTGGCAGCACCGCTGCTGAAACTGTCGGCCTGCCCATCGAAACAACGTGTTTCTACGTCGTTCTGAAGAACGAAAGGAAGCGCGCGAGGGCAAAGCGCGATGCACGTCGTCGTGAAGGGAGCCTTCGTCTTCCAGCAAGCTCGGTTCGACCACGAGATCGTCTTCTTGAGAATGTAACGAGCGAACGTACATTGCGGAGCAAGAAACCGAAGAGGAGTGCCGACGGAGGAAACACGAGGCCGAAACTTGACGAGTTTCCGGATACCGGCGACGGGCCTTCGACGATGAGAGGCCGCAAGTTGTGCGGGATCGGCGAGAATAAGCTGAAACGTCGTACTGTCAAACACAAGAAGAGTACCAGAAATGCGAAATGCAACGGCAAGAAAGCGAAATCGGCCGAGCCGCAAAAATCACGAGTCGTCGACTCGCATGCTCCGCGAGTTCGCGAGGCGGGTAGCCGCGTTGTGGATAAAAAGAATCCGGATCACCGCAGGAGGATCGTCGCGAAGGCGAGCGTTGATCATCATATTCGAGTAGAGGACAGCGATAACGGAGAAAGTGAGGGGAAATTAAGCCGTCATGATGTCGCAGTCGCCGATCGTAGAAACAAATCCGCGCCGGGCGTTGGGAAGACGCGCGGTTGCGCGGATTGCATCTGCGACATCTCGGACGTGATCGACCGGGTGAAGTCTGTCTTGGACGGATCGAGTTATCCGTTGGACGAGATCAAGGCGCTCAATTGCAGCAGGTTCAAAGAGACCCGGGAGAAAATAGTGATCTCGGTGGACTCCGACGTGGAGGAGGACGCCAGGGCGTTTCCGCAGCCGCGTTACAACACCGAATCGCTGAAGGGGCAAAAGTACATCAAGCCGCAGGAGCTCGGGGCCGATCCCAGGGGTGACTTACCGCTCGAGAACGGTATCTTGTGAAAGTTAATTCAAATGAAATTGCCTTTCATTTGATCCCGACCGCCTCCACCTAACGTCAAACTCATAAGATCAGCAAATCGATCTTTTTCAACCTTGTAACTTTTACGTAAAACATTCTCGTTTCTCAAAATTCCACCGTTTACGAGATATTAGACTGTACCCAGACTTTTGGCTCACCCTGTATGTGCGTTTTTTCCTTTTTAATATTATTTAGAATTTTATGTATTTAAGTTTACGATCCCCGCTAATGAACTTTGATGAAACGATAAACGTTGATGAAAAGCATCGCTGGGATCGTTTGTACTTTTCCGCTTTCTCCTCCCCCGCAGATCGCGATATCATTTCGCTACCGGGTCTTAATCTGAACGTGCCCTGTAACCGAGACGGCGACGGTGTCACTTGGCTGTCGAGTGTCGGCAGGCCGAGTTACACGTGGAAACGGGCGGACGGTATCGCGCTTTACGGTGAGAAACGTCACTCGCGCGATATTCGGAAAAAGAAAGAAAGTGGACGCGAGAAAACATACGAGAGAGAAAGAAATCATTTTTTAAACGAGCTTCCCCCCCCCCCCCTTCCCCAAGGTTTCGTGGCGGAGAACGGTGACTTGGAATTGCGGAACGTGAATGCGAGAGACACGGGGAATTACACGTGCGTCGTGACGTACACGGGCGCCGACAACGAGGAGCCCGTGGAGGCCACTTACGAAGTTCGCCTGCGAGGTAAGAATTCAGCCGATTCAGCCGGACTCTATTCACGAATTTAAAGGGATTTCTTCCGCAGTCGTGACCTTGCCGAGGTACATTCTACACGGCGAGAGTCGTTATCGCGTGCGATTCTGCGACGAGAGAGGCTTGGACGCGCTGACGACGTATCTACCCTTGAAATTGAACAACGTTCTGTGCGAGGCGGACATCTGCAACGCTTACGTACTGACACCGTCTTGCTCCCGCAACCAAGCAAGTCCCTTTTTATATCTCACAGGGTGGGCCGAGTCGGATCGATGTAAGCTTCGAAACAATAGTCGTTAGTTTCTAACGAACTATTTCACCGTGCCAATTATCCGCGCGTGCTTCCCCTCCCCGTACGTCGTTTGAAACGAAAAACTAACGACGACTGTACGAAAGCTTATATCGATCCGATTCGTCCCGTCATCCGATCTGACCCGGTCCTATCCTGCATCCCGGAGCTTGCAGAATTTCGCCGGAATTCTCGTCGTGTTTCGATATTGTGTTTTTGGTATTATTCGGGTGAAAGACGGCTAAAGCAGATTCCTTTCTTGCTTTTTGCTGGCTGTACGATTAAATAAATGAATAAACAAACAAACAAATCAATACGATGAAATTAAATAAATAATTTGTCTTATTCCTCAATAACGCGATAAATGTCATATCCCTTCTGCCACTTTTCAAATATATAACACAGTTTGTATCATTGCAAAATATTCTCAAGGTGATCGTCTGATCCAATCGGATCGATTTAAAATCAGATTTAAAATTAATCGTTTAAATTCTACCGAGTTTGTAAAACGTATTCGTGAGTCGAAGAAACCATCGGTGATCTGACGGATTTTCACGAGCTTTTAATTTCATCCTATGCATTACATGCGGCGCCGATCCCGCAATGAGAGGGTATTCCGATTCTCATTACAGATCACGATGAATGTTCTGATAGTGCCGTCGCATATCGTGAAACTGACGACGATCGATCACAAACGTTGCAACGTCTTCTGCCTCAAAGCCATTCAGGACAAGCTCTCGCTGGTACTGAGTAAAAATCTGCAGATCTTCCTCGAGAAAACCAGTTAGTCGACACCGTCTTTTTTACTCGGTCGCAACTTATATCGGGCTGATGCGAAATATTTGTCATATTTCTATTTTTTAAATCTTACAGGAAGGTTCGGATATTAAAAAGAAAATATAGAAGTCCACGTTGGACTGTCGAAAAGAAATATCGAATCGATGTTGCTCGTTTTATTAGTGAAAATTGATAATCTCTCTAATAAGCATACTAATAAGTTATCGTAAGATTTGACGATCGTTTTCCGCTTCATTTAACGAACACGACAAACCTTTCGCACCATCCCGATATCACAACTTCGTGCGTATACGCGTGTGTGTATACGTGCGAAGTGTTGCGACGTCTGCAATTCACAATAGCATCTCTCTATAGAGTTCTTTAACTACAGTTATTTTCAGATTACTCCATTTCGAGCAGAAACTGGTGCCGATTGTGGAAAAGCCGTCGCTTGCGAGACGAAGGAGAGGCGAGAACGGCGAGAGCGAGCTCGACGATGCTTTCGGCGACGATGTCGGCTTATTTTCCAGCTGCCCGGCTGGATACGGTCTTCGCGGTACGCATTGTGGTACGTGAATCGCATGTGGTTGAACGAACGACAATGTGAGGAATAATATTACGAACCGATGTACCTTGCAGTTCCTTGCGACGTGGATACTTACAGCGAGGACGGGGTATCGCGCTGCAAAAAGTGCCCGCCCGGCACTTACCAGCCGAATCACGGCGCCAGAGTTTGTCGTACGTGCACTAGTCCATTGACGAGAGGCTGTTATAACATGGTACGGACGTGTGTGTGTGTGTATATTTAAAAAATCTTATAATTTCGATGATGCGAAGCTTCGATATTTTTAAAATTCGAATATCGATGCTTTCGAAAGTGAACACCAAGCCTCTAGTACGAATACAACGCCCTAATAAGATCTATCCTGCGTTATATAGACGTTAGATCGAAATAAAAGCTACATATTAAAATCACGAAAGAGTCGATCTATTACCCGTTGTTATGTGAATAATATTTCGTCGGTAGTATCGCCCAGTAAACACCAACTAACAGTAATTACATCAATGTTATAATTTCTCATTCAACAATGTGAGTGCAACGTCACAGCTGCATACAACAGTTACATTGTTGAGTGGAAAATTATGATATTGTTGTAATGTTACTGTTGGTTGGTATTTATCGGGCGTGAGTTATTTAGCTGAATAGAATAGTATCAGAATAGAATAGTATATTCTCAACGTTGTTTCATCGCAGCTCTGGAATTCGTTCTCCGCCGTGATGATGACTCTGGCGAGTCTCAGCGTGATGCTGTCGATATTCCTGCTGTTACTGTGGTTGGTCTGCTGCGCCAAGAAGAAATTCTGCGCGAAGCGAATAATCAGCGTCGTATCCGACGAAGGCGCACTTCTACAAGAGGTAGAATTACAACTTGGCGTCGTGGTTTAGGAAAAGAAAAGCAGTCAAGATCTTAGATCTAAAATACACGATTTTGTGTCTCACAGAAACACGTGGAGGAAGAACCATTAATTAAGGACGTTAGTGAGAACGAGGATCAGCTATGGGACGGTGAATATAGAATTAAGAAGAAGCGGGGGAAGTTCAGTGTAAATAGGAAACGTCGGAAGCAGAGCGAGAAGAGATACGAAAAGGCACGAGTTCGTAAGAGAAGAAAAAAAAAACACACACACGAGACGCCGCGTCTTATGAATTCCTCTTTCGTATCCGTGAAACTGATCTTTGCCGTGTAAACTTTTAACTGAACTGAAACACAGCAAAGTAAACACCCGTCATCAGTAACGTAACGTCAATGATACAATTTTCCACTGTTAATTCCCCACATATAATTTCCCACTCGACAATATAATTGTTATGTAATTGTTACATAACACACGCGTTAATTCATAATATTCGTTATATCATCGCATTTACACCGTTGAGTGGGGAATTTATAACATTGATGCTACATCGCCGTTAGTCGATGCTTACTGGCTGTATTACAGCCGAGAAATAATCATCTATCTCTGATCGTTACAGACACACGAAGACGAATGGGGATCGCATCGTATAATGGACGCGCCGGTCAACGGCCTCGACTCTTATCGGTCTCACGAAGATTACAATAACCGTGAGCCACTCTCAGTACATCAAATAGTCTTCCGTCTGATATCTCTCTCTCGTCTCCACATAAACGTCACGTACAATGATTATCAATTCTGCGCAGATTACCCGAAGCAATCGCACCGTAAAGGACCCCGTCTGCCCGAGCGTGACTTCGACACGTGATCAACGACGGATCATATCATGGAGAGTATATGACGGAAACGTGTAGCTCAAGTGAACTTTGTACAAATACTTTAGACTTAATTCCTAATTCTTGAAACCTATGTAACATCTATGAGTAAGTACCTGTTCAACTTTAACGGTTAATTATATCTAGCTTAAATAGTGTGTATTAATTACCAGGCGCCTATTGTGTATCGAAGTGAGTACGTTATAATCAAATGCTATCTGTATAAATGCATATATATGTGTATACATACATACACACATACACACACACACACATGGGAAGTGCGACATTTGCACAACTGTATACACACATAGGATAAGCGTTTATTTTATCTTCCCATCGTCAACAAGGTGACAAGATTCAATTAAAGTATATGACAAGCAAGATAATCTGGTGTCATCTGATGAGATATAGATGCTCGCAACTGCAAGGTTGTAAAATTGATATTCTATAACCCAATCTTGGTGTGATATCCACTTTTAATGAAGGTTCAAGTTAAGCGAACATATGATCCGATACTACTGAGGTCTCTTCGTTACAAATACATTGTACTTTCTATCGCAGTAATCCTTTGGCCATAGCTCAACGATCCTTCGGCATCGGCGAAACGCTACTAAAGCCGCACAGCCAGTTGATCTGTAAATAAAATAATTACTGTAATTATATCGTCTCACGTTTTGTATTCTGCACAGCCGAGGAGATTCGTCAAGCCATGAAGATTAAGTCAGGCGACGTACTAGTAATGTTTCTTCAGTTGGTGGCGAGCTATGAAGAAAGGAATGGAGAAGCCGCTGCTGATGTAGACCATGAACAATAGCAACAGCTTGTGCCTGTTCTGCACGCTGAACGGCAAGTTCTGTGCGAAGAAGGTTCAAGAGATAGGCGGTTATTACGTCAGGACATTACACAACCGAAATTGCCACTCACGTATCCAGGGACGCCGTCGTAGGGATCGTGATGTTCACTTCTGCGAATCGCGCTCGTCGTGAATCTCCTCAACGCCTGACGGCCGAACACGTTCGCCAGATTGATCATCTTCAACGTAGAAAACACCGAGCCTCCTTCGCGTAACGCACCTCGTACAATATGGTGGCCCGTCGTCTGCCTCACGAGAATCGATCGCCGCGATGAGTCGAAGTGCGTTTCCTCTCGCGTATCCGAGAATCGATTATCTCTCTTCGATACTTTAAATAAATTTATAATTACTTGTCCGCGTGTTGAGTATTTTATATAATTAATAAAAACGCTAACAGGTTGAGGAGTAATCGAATTATTGAAAAATATGAAAATTAATTAAAAAGACACAATAGCTCCACCTGGAAATTTTAATAATTTCGATACCGAGGCGATCTGTATTTAACGAATATAATAGAGTTTCGATAATAAAATTAATTAATCATGCAGATTGATTAGTTTCATGTTATATATCTTTTATTATTATCTTATAGTTTACGTTTTACTGCAACTTTTAGTGTACAAATGAAGACCGAGATAAGATTAAATAAAATTCAACCGGCTGTAACTTCCGTAAAAATATTAATGATAAAATAGTTCAGGAAGAATTTCGCAGCGCGAGGTCTCTAGTTTTCAAATATATTGTTGAATATAATATTTACTTATTTTTTTACAATGCTACGCGAATATGAATCGAGATCCGTCAAATGCTAAAATTTTTTATAAAATTCGCCGAGTTACATCTTTTGAATAAAATATGGTACATAAACGTTGACATTATTCGGAAAGTTCTAATCTTTTTCTTTAATGCGTGTGTCAGAAGATTGCAATGCAATTTTCTTTTATTGAGTTATTCAATATTGAAGCAAAAAGCATCCTTTCAACTTTTATTGCTCACAGAAGGGAAATGAATCGGGAGCACGACATTTGTTAAGCAATGAGTAGAAAGTTTAAAATCCTTTCCTTGAAATTTAATTACATTTTCGATGAAATTAAATTTTTAGTGTAAAAAACTTAACCGAAATATAAATGAAATATAAAATAAAAAATCAAACAACCATTTACTACTTGCTTGAGTTTTACCACGATCTCAGTTTTTCTTGGTAAATTCAATAACGATTCGTAGCGAAGACTTTGAAAGTAAATGTCAATATCACAAATAAAAAAGTAACAAATTTAATAATTACAAAATCGAATGGTTAAATAATCAAGACTCGAACCATCTTGGCTGAGACATAAACTTTCTGGCGGAAGAGTTTCTATTCGATACTGTTAGATGGCACCAGGTAGTCCGTTAACCGCTAAATACATATTGAATAATTTATATCTGAAAAATTCAGGCAAACTTAACGAAATGCTCGAACAAAGCGCATCCCGATCAGTCAGCTCAGAACAATTTTTAAAAATGCACCTGCCGATTATGATCGGTTTTAATATGGTAAATCTATATTGAAAAATATTTAATCCATTTTCAAGCGTTTTGTTGAATTTGGATTAGTTTTCGAGATATTAATTATTATTATTAAATTGGGTTTGCGACTCGTCAAGAAGGTTTGAGTCTCGAACTAAGTAATCGATAAATGTTGGTTGGAGAAGGTTCGAATCTCGAGTGCATGATGTCGACTATGGTTCCAAAATCTCCGCTATGAGGCGCCACCATACTTATCGAGAAATTGTGTCGTAGTACCTCTTGGCTGAGTTCCTTAGAAACATTAATATTCAAATTTGAAAACGATTGTACACCTTTGTTTTATTTTCGTTTACCTTTAATTTTGTTTTTCCTATTCTCTGTTTACATTAAGTGCATCTCGGAACATTATGTTAAGAATTTCCGAAGTTTACGTTTGTGTTCATACTCACATTTGTATTTATACCCATAAACATAATTTTAGTTTTACTTTATTTGTCAATTAGATATATTTAGGGATAAGTTTATTAATGTTTTACGTGCACCAAATATATATATATATATATATATATATATATGTGTTATTAAATCGCGATTTTATTTAAAACTTTTTCATTGCGATCGTCTTGTTAGTATCTCAACATTTATCATAAGATTTGGGTGTTTTCTTAAGTTAAGACATGCATATTGTAATCGAATTGTAATCGAATAGACAAGTATTTAATTTAGACTGCGCATAGAAAATATTATTATTTAACATTGGGTCGCATAGGCTGGATTCTTAAACCCTGCGCTCTTGTACAATTTTTATATTGAATAAAAGAAAAATGAAATTAGGTCGTAGTACGACTCAACAGTGGATCAGGCGTCACTTCTATTTTTCAAAGTAGTATGACTCACCGGATGATCAGCCGCACTTATATTAAACATGTATAAAATTCAACAGGCTGCAATCCTGCAAATGAAATGAAAATAACGAAACGGCTTTGGAAGCATTTTGAAACTTGAAATTTCTACTTTTTAGGAATATGAAATCCATAACATTATTTTTGTTTATTGCTAAGTTACATCGAGCTAAATGAAAAATGACGACCGATCAATTTTTAACCTCATGTTTTACTTAAATTTTTATGCCGAAAGAAGATATAAATATTAACACGCAAAATGCATTTTTTAGGAATATTACAAATTGCAATGTTTATGTACGATACTTCATTTACATATTACGTAAAATTCGGCGAACTTAATAAAAAAATTTTTACATTATTTTCGTGTTCATTTCATATTTATGCGATGCCAGGAAAAATAAATGTACATCGTATTCAATGATATATTTGGACGCTAGAGAGTTCACGCTATAAAATGTTTCCCGAACTATCCCTTTGCTTTATTTTTGCGAAAGTTACAACTCGTTGAATTTTGTCCGTGTTTTACGACTGAGAAAAACAATCAGCCGTAAATCAAAATAACTCTTATTTTTCAGCAACACGATTCTACAAAAAGTGAGTCGAGGGTAATATTTTAAATATATTTCTATCGGTTAATCTATTATATTTTCCCGACATTCTGTTTATATGAAATGCGCGGCTATAGATTTCAGGATAGGTAGGATAAATGTGGAAAATGGTGGGTGAAGATAAAAAGCGAAGAAAACAGCTGCAGAGTATACGCATAAATATTTATTTCCGTACATGATAAAAGATAACTGTACAGGGGGATATTACGGGATAATTTGAATTTTCCCATTTTCCGAGCAGGAAATTCATCTGAAACTTAATTAAACCGTGCTGTTTATGTAAGACCACAAGGGAGGGGGGGAGGGGGGAGGAAGCAAATTGGTTTTCTTTTTTCCCGCGGTGTGATCTCGCACCCGCTGGTAACAACTGTATAAGGGCATTTATTTTCCGCTTTGTTACACAGAGAATCAGCGTCGTTAAATAATACGCTAAATAATACAAATAAACATTGCATTTTGCGGCGTGTGTACATATCCGGTAATAAATTACGCGCGAGAAAAGATTAACGCTTTATTATTATGTTTTCGTCGGGTACACACAGAGAGGGAGAGATGGGGG